TGGGGGTTGGGGGGGGGAAGGTGTTGTTGGGATTTTTTGGGGGGTTGTGGGGGTTTTGTTTTTGTTTGTTTGTTTGTTTGTGTTTTATTCTTCCCCCGTACGAGAGCTCAGCACTGATCTGAAGCCCATTAAAGTCAACGAGATTTTTTTTTTCCACTGACTTAAGTGGTTTTTGGACCACCTCCTAACTACGCTTTTATTATTCTTCTAAAAAGGAAAGACGCGGAAGTGCCAAGCCAGTTACAACTTTGTAATGAAGAGTGTATGCGTGTGAGAGAAAGAGTTTACATGTGTGCATATGTGACATGTGTAAGATATGTCTATTATACAGATAGAGCAGGCGCGATCTGTAGCCAGAATGTGTCTTTGGACGTAATTTTAGGTATGTCTCCTAAATGTATCCTTGCACATGACTGCTGTGTGCTTCAGTCTTACTTATCTATTACTCGTGTCTTTCTTTCTGGAGTAATTTCAAGGGATGTTTTTGTCCAACGGCCCGTCGTGGCACAACATCTCTTTGCGTTAGAGGTATCCACCGCTCTTTGGCGTTGTGCAGCTGACACGAAAGCTGGGACAAGGTCGGGGAGTGGGGGGTGTCCTCACCGAGGAGCAGAACCCTGGAAAAACCCTGGACTTGGAGAGCTGCCCCTGAAGCTGACGAGTTACCCAATAAATAAATAAATTAACCCAAGGCTCTCACTGTGTCACCTGACGGCTTCCACAGACACCTCGGGAACGTCAGTGGTTGTGTGACGTTCAGTTTAAAAAGCGAATTAGAAAAAAAAAATACCCACGGGGAGCTCGATTGCTTGGTTTTGCGGTTTGAGCCCTTTAGCCTGCAACTCCGAGAGAAATTCTGGCTCTGAACAACATGAAAGAGTACCTGGCTGGGACAGTCCCCGCGGGCAGCGGGCTCGTCCCCACTCCTGTCCCCGCTTTCCCCGCCCGCCCTGCGTGCTCGGCGCTGCCGGAGCAGGGGTGCGGGAAGGCTGGGGGGGTGCGGAGCGGGTCTGGCCTTGGACACGCACCTTGTAACCCCCACAGGTCAGACCCGCGTTCCTCTTGGCCAGGACGCACTTCATCCTCAGGAAAAAGGACCTCTCGATCTCGTACTCTGGGAGGGGTAAAGAAAGGCAGAGATGGGGTGAGCCGCGGGCTCCGCCCCCCCTGCGCAGTCCCCTCCGCGGTCCCTTCCGCGGCCGCGCAGGCCAAGCGGGGGCGCAGGGCTCTGTGCTTTACCCTGCACAAAGTGCGAGTGGTAGGGTTGGTGGGCCGTGAGCACCGCCGTCATCTCATCGTGGTCGGCGGGGTGGATGTACTCGTAAATGCTATTGCCGGTCAGCTCTACCTGTGAGAGAGGAGAAGGAGGAGGGGAAGGAAGGGGTTCATCGCCGGCACCGCTCACCCTCCCCGCACGCACCTCCCCTGTCACTTGGGGGGCACAGGCAGGCCCGGGGGCTAGCGCCCATCCCCCGGCCCCCCAGCATACCTGCGACAAGCCCAGGTGCACCGAGGCGGTCTCCGAGATGTACATGATCTTGCCATCAGGAGCAACGACAAATATGAAACCGTCCAACGTCTGCAGAAAAGGGTTGAGGGGTGAGAAGTATAAATATATCAAGAGATAGACAGGTAGACCCACCCATGACGGCAGATAGATCCATGAAGTACCTGTCTCTTGGATTTATTTTAGCTAACAGGCAACCCTGTTTATGCTGTGGCTATCCAAAAAGTTGGGAGGAAATGGGCAAGTCCCGGACAGGAATCCTTCTAAAGCTCCTGGACCCCCGAGATACAACCCGCTTCTCAGAGGGGCCGAGCTCAGAAGTAATACAAAGTGCCGGGGCAGTATCTAAGAACAGGTCCTGGCTAGTCGGGGATTAATATGTCGGTTCCAGAAACCCTGAATACTTCTAAATGTCACTGGGGATTTAGCACTTGGATATTTGCTAAGCAAGCGAGGAGGATCTGAAACTCTCCACAATGTAAATAAGGGACGAGACAATTTGTCAGGCACATTTCAGCAGACATAGATGGGACTTGTGGGTGTGACGAGGGATGAATAGGCCAAAAGGCCACACAACCCCTCCAGAAATTCATGGTGGTGGTAACTGCTAATATTCCTTAATATTTCAGAATGCAGTGAGTTCTCAAATGATCATCTCCTGATTTTGTGTCTCTGCTAATTTCTGTGCCCGATGAGCCCTTCCATCCAGGACAGCCTCCCCCAACCTGTCTCCAGAACCTCTCCCTGTCTCTACAACACCCTGAATTTAAGCACGTTGACAGGACTTGTCACTCTATTCACAATTTGGGGAAAAATCATCACGCTCCTGGCACACCAGGATAACACTGTGAATCCCTTGCTGTGGACCCTGCATTGGACGATGCTGGGGCAAAGGACCCGGGGGGACCAAACCACAGCCCCGTTAAAACGTGCCACATTCAACCGCCACAGTTCGTATTTCTGAAGTTGTTCCCCTCCCGCCTCCCTTTTTATTAAACACGTGAACAGTTAAAAATTAGTCAAGGTGGCAATTAAAAGCTCAGAAGAGGGAATGATTTCTTTAATCATTAATACCACATGACTGTCGTTTCCAGACCAGTACCTGCAAAAGATGGGATCCCAATTCCCGTCCAACATTATCCAGTGGGCTGGTTCGGCTAGAGTGACCCCAGGCTTCTCCAAGTCCTGTTTATTTAAGAAACACAGAAAAAGGCGAGGAGATTAAAAGCTGACTCGTGTTGGCCTGCTGGAGGGGAACTTTTTTCTTTTTTTCAATTTTTTTCTTGTATTCACTCTAAACCACACATACATATATTTGGGAAACCAGACATTGTTTCCTTGCACAGATATGCCTCTTCTGTGGATTTTTTTTTTTAAAGACCTAACTCCCGTGAGAGAAAAATACCAAAATACCTATTTTGAGTTAACGGTGAAGTTCATTCCTAAAACCTAAGTGAATTGGTGTGCAGGATAAAAGGCTTTTTAGTGCTGCCCTCGGCTACTGGCAACCGGCTCCTTGAACTTCAGGGAAAGCGGTTTCCTCCTGACGTCACCGAAGAGATCCTGGACAACACTGGGAGCGATTTAAAACGAAAGGAAGAGGTGTGTTGGGGGAAGCCTTTGATGTGGAGAGAAGGATGCGGTTAACATGGCACGACGTTGTCTGGGAAGAGAAACCTCTTGGCGGCAGCTAGGCCCGCGCTGCGGATCGGTTCTGCCAGCGCCTGAGCGCTGCCCGCGGGGGGTGCCCCCCCGCAGAAGGAAGAACTCGGCCGGGTCCCACCCCATCCCGCAGAAGGCACAGCTCGGCCGGGTCCACCCCCACCCCTCAGAAGGCAGAGCTCGGCCACAACCTGCCGGGTAATTAGCCAGCAGGCTTTGGACGGGGAGGGGTAAGGATGGGCTTAGACCCTCTGCTCGCCAGAGATCACTTTCCAGTTGGATCCGTGACCTCCTGCCTCTTTTCTCTTCGGGGTACCGTCCCCTCACCTGGAAGGTTTGCAATTACATATTTGGGGAGGGAAAGAGGAGCGACGGGATGCGACTCATCCAGCTCTCCCCGAGCCCCCTGTAAAAACGCGTTCCCTTTCAGTGATCCCTACCCAAGCCCACGAAAAGCAAACTAGCTGCCGCTCAGCCGAGCCCAGTTTTACGGCTGCGACAAGGTACCTCGGGGCGGCCCAGCCCAGTCACTGCCCGACGGTATGGCCCGTCCTCCCTCCTGCCCCACGAAGCCGGGTCCCCGGGATTCACCCCCTTCCCACCATCCCTCCTCCCCACTTCTCGGGCGGGAGGGATGGGTGTCGCTGCAGGGAGGGATGATCTGCCTCCAAACAGCCCCCTTCAGAAATTAATCTCTTTCGACCTGTCTAATGTTTCAGATGCCACTTGTTTTCTACTATGCAAAGTGAGAAGGAATAAAAGCCAGATGGAAAGTACTCCACCGGAGTAGAACTATTTATGGGCGATGCCTTTGCACAGTGTTGTTGCTGAAATAATTTAAACGGGGCAATTAAAACCTTTTACGCTTATGCCATGAAATAAGGCTCAGCCTGACACGCACAGCCACTAAGAGTAAAAAGGAAGAAAAAAGTACAAATCCTGATTGATGGCTGGGGTGCGGATCGCCTGGGGGTGGCGAGAGCCGAGCCGCAGAGGTCTCCCTCCCGCCGGGCGGGCTCGGGGAAGAGAAGACCCCGTTTTCCGGCTATTTCGAGGCAAACTGGCGAGGTGGCGACTGCAGGCAGCCGCGGGCATCCCTCGCTATTGACCGGCTTCACCTGGGTGTTTGCTGGTCAAAACAAAGCTAACGATTTCCTCCGCGCTGTTTGAACGGGGCATCCCACGGCGGACCTCGCCCGCCCCCGCCGGAGCTACGCGCCGTCTCGTCCCCGCCTTCCCCTCTCCTCTCCCTCCTTCCTCGTTCACCTCTTCACGCCAACTTGTTTCTTCACCGCTCCTACAGTCCTCTCCTTCCTCTTTAACGTCACAGCCCTACAAAGGCGGGGGCACCTCCCTGGCCTGGCCCCCGTCCCGCAGCCCCAGTGCGTACCGGGGTGCCAGCTAAGAACAGGCTCGTTCCCATTAATTCCTCCACGCCAATCAACGGGGACCCAGTGATTTTTTGCTGAGTCCCTGGGTTTCACTCCTCCCTGCGCCCTCCGGAGCGGGTGGACGGCCGGGGGGGTGCACCGGCGGCTCCACAGGCACCTCTGCCTTCCTCCCCCAGTTCCCCAGGGAGCCGGCCGCCCGGACGGAGGGTCACCTCAGTCCCCCGAAATCAGCAAGGAGCTGGCAAATCTTGCACAGCTTCCAGGGAGAGAGAAAAAAAAAAAATCCGCTGTATATTATTTTTTCCCGAGCTCCCCCGAGGTTTCTCTGCTGGGGAGCAAGGGACGGCCCGTTAGAGCGAGCAGAGGCGGACAAGGCGGCTCCTTGAGACCCCCCGCCTCCCCGAGGGAAATCTGAACGGCAGGTTTCCGTATTCAGGACTAAATCTGCGCTCCCCGCCTATGATTTAAGTTGCTTATTAATCGAAGTTTACGGTTCTAATTATTCTTCTTCTAAAAGGGAAAATAACGCGACGCCGGCGGGTTAATGAACAGCTCATGGGCATTCCAGGTTAACCTCCCCCCGGGAAGGCGGCTCTTCACGGGGCGCTGAGCTCCTCGCTGGGTTTCAGGTGGAAACCCCGCGCTGCTGGGCTGTGTCTGTTAATGGTTTATAATTAAACGTTTTCACTTGTCTACCTGAACCGGCTTTTTGAAATCCTATCACATGAGACCATTCTTTGTACTTCCCAGACGTTTCAGCACTTTCAAGTTGGAGACTATATCTATTCATTGCCAAGCCGAGCCTATCCCAAATCGACGGGCTCTCCTGATGTCCCTTAAATACTGTTTTAAAGATTATACCAGAAAACCTCTCCGTTAATATTCCCTTTTATCCCCCACCCCCGTCTATTCGCTTTAACATCCAATTTCCTTTTATCGAGGGGGCAAACTGTGATTTCTTGCACTTGACCTACCGCAGAAAATTCTGCAAATCCTTTGATTGTCTATTTAAAACAAAACAAGGAAATCAGCTCTCCCTTTTGCTTCAGGATTACGCTTGGAAACAAGATCTAAAGATTCTCTTGTAATTTGGAGAGGCAACAGCATAATAGGTTTGGAATAGAAACAAGCAGCTTTGTGAGGGGAAGGATAACTAAATCGTTTTTAGGCAAAGGATTTTCCCAGCTAAAGTGGCCGAAGACAAAGCAAAACATAATCTATTTTGGAAGATTTCCAAGATATGCCACATTAACCCTAGCAGATAAAATTTGCTTTCTTCCCTGCGTCCCCTCCCCCACCAAGGTCTGGTTTATCATATTTACATAAGTAGCCTTAGAAGGGATGTATCTATTATGGATCTAAGGAGCTAGCGAGCTCACATTTCATTTGGAAATAGAGGCGAAGTTTTACTGTTGCTTAATACTTGATGCATTGTAGAACCATTTCCATTTAAATACCCCCGACCCGCGGATTACCTCAATGGACTGGCTGCATGGGTTTTGTAATTTCCTGAAAATGAGATTTCGATTTATAAAACAAGAAACCAATTAGTAACCAAATGAGGCGAAGTAGATCCACTAAAATTGACCTAATCCCACAGGCACCATTTAGGCCAGTTCTTGGCGAATGAATGATGAGCAACCGTCTAGCGTGAGCTCAAGGCATCATCCAGCTGTGTTATTCAAGCAGCAAAAATAAACGGATCGAGCTTTTCTTTCGGAATGAATTTGATTTTTGTCAAAATATAGATCATAGGCTCCTACCTAACAATCTCCTCCACTCGAGGATTGTTTTTCGGTTTTTGGGTTTATTTGGGGATTGGGGTTTTTTGTGGTTTTCTTTTTTTGTTGTTATTGTTTTGGCTTCTTTTTTTTTTTTTTTTTTTTTTTTTTTTTTCCACAAGAAAGGGTCCACTGTCAGGATGAAGAAAAAAAAAAAAAAAAAAGAAAAAAAGAAAAGTGGGGGACATTTTAGCCAGGCTCTTTCCTTATTTTGGGAACAACAGCCTCGTTATCTAACAGCGTGCGCTGAGACTGTGCGGATCCTGCTCGGAGCGAGCGTGCTGACTCATCGTTTGTCCCAGCATTTCCCGAAGGGAAACCCCTGCGCTTCCCTCACCAAAAAGCATCTCCGTCGGTTTCATGTGGTAGCCACACCGTCTCGTCCACGTGAAATGCCTTGTCCCCAGCCGTGCCCACCCCCGGCACTGGGCAAGCCGGTCCCCACCGGCAGCCTGCCCCCCAGGCCAGGCTCATGGCCAGCACTCGGCTGCGGTGGCCCTGTCCTTCCCCTCATCTTTTTATTGATGCAAGCCTTGATGCCGGCAGCCAATGGAGGGGTTGGGTGGATATCGTCCCTACCCAGTGGCGATATTGTCGCAAGAAGCTCCTCTGTCCCACGGAAGGGGGAAGAGTTTCCTCAATCATTTCTAATTTGACCTGGGCAAAGACGGAGGAAGGCGGGCGCAGGGAAATGAGACTCCGGGGGGCCCGGGCAGCTCCTTGGCCCTGGTTGATCTCCGGGTTACTTGTCCCTCCGTGAGCATCTGCAGCGCAGAACCCACCCCGACCCCCTCCTTTGTCTGGCACTAGCAAAGGGGGGCGGGGGTGGAAGGTGGGGG